ACTGATCATGTGGCATCAAGGTTGCTACAGCAGGATTAAAAGAGGCAGTGAGGGGGTTGCTTCCCAAGATAAACCAAACACCTAGCTACTTTAAATTAGTTGATATGACCAAGACCACATGAAATGTATTCCACGGTACTCAAGGAACTTGCAGATATAATTTCAGAGGTTCGATAATCTTTGAAAATTTTTGGAGAACAAGAGACGTTCCTGGAATTGGGCAAAGGTGGTTTCGATGTTCAAAAAGGGAGAAAAGATTATTTGGACCAATAACAACTGGTCAGCTTGACATTGATACCATAGATATGTAAACATTGGCTGAAATCCTTTTCATGCAGCAATGTCCACTCACTTCCTACTTCAGTCCAACAGCTTCTGTGTAATCTCTTTCATAGTTTGCAAGCCATGGGATCTGTGGGGTGGTAGGAGGAAATCTTTAATTACCAGAATTTCTGCCACCAGGACATCACTATTTTCTTGAGATGGGGGAAAAACCAAGGTTGCACTGTCTTCCATGAGACAGCTCTACAAATATTTGAAGATGGCTATCATATCATGTCCCGATCTTCTCCAAGCCAATTGACTTGGCTCCCTCAACCATTCCTCACAGGGCTAGATTTTGAGAACTTTTACCATCCTGTTCATTTTCCTTTGGACATGTTCCAGCTTGTCTATATTAAAGCTAGCTTGTCTTAAACAGTGGTGCCCAGGACTGGACACACTACTAGACCACATCAACAGATATATAGCATTCAGATCAAGAAAAATAATAGTGCTACTCTATTTTGTTTTCACCAGACCTCACCTGGGCACTTTACTTGTGCTGATGCAACTGAGTTTTGTGTTTGCTTCCACCAAGCCCTGCAAAAATCACACTGTTGACTCATATCAACCCTGTGGTCTACAAAGATACCTAGAGCCTTTTCACATGTACTACTGCCAAGCCAGCTGTGATCCATCTTATACTCATACACCTGTGGGGTATTTTTTAATACACACAGAAACTTTACATTTTCTTTATTGAAACTCCTTTTGTTTGCTTTGGCACAGTTCTCCAATCTGTTTAGATTTTCTTGCATCCCGATTCTGTCTTCTAGAGCAGTGGTCTCCGACCTTGGGCCTCCAGATGTTCTTGGACTACAACTCCCAGAAACTTTCACCACCACCTCTGCTGGCCAGAATTTCTGGGAGTTGAAGTCCAAGAACATCTGGTGGCCCAAGGTTTGGGGAACACTGTTCTAAAGTATAAACTGCCCCTCCCATTTTTGTGTTATCTGTAAATGTGATAAGCACCCCCCGTGCCCTCATCCAAGCCATTTACACATATGTTGAGCCCTACTTGTCAGTTTTCTCCAGGATGACCAGGAACTATTGGAGAACATTCCTTGTGTATGGCTTTCAGTCAGCTACCAATTCAACCAGAATAGCATTGTCTCTTCCAGTTTTCACCAGCATAGCTGCTTGAATATAATGAGGGACCTTGCCAAAAGCCTTTCTAAAACCAAGAGACATTATCCACTGCATTCCCCTCATCTGCCAAGCTTGTAGCACGGCCAAACTTTTTTTGTTACAAAAGAGATAGAAAAGTCATGACTTCTTTCTGAAACAAACATGTTATGTTTTTGAAGTCACAATATTCTAAATACTCATAGACCAATTTTTTCATTTTCTGTTCTAGAACCACTCCTGATATTAATGCCAAACTAATAGGTTGACAGTTGCCCTGATCTTCATTTCAAAAAAATGGGTGTGACATTCATTTATTTAACTTATTTATTAAATTTATACCCCGCCCAATTAGTAGATGTCTACTCTGGGCGGCTTACAATAGAAATAGCATAAAAACAATTAAAAACAGCAATTTAAAACAACAATAATGATATCATTCAAGATGGACAGGTAAAGATCAAAGTGGAAAAGCAAAACAGAAAAATATAGATAGAAAAGTAAAGATCAAGTAATGATCATTTGCTCACCTCTAGTCTTCAGCGTTCCGTGTCTAAATCACACTGGCCATGTGACCACGGAAAGATTGTCTTCGGACAAACGCTGGCTCTATGGCTTGAAGAGCGGGATGAGCGCCGCCCCCTAGAGTCGGACACGACTGGACAAAAATTGTCAAGGGGAACCTTTACCTTTTAGTCTTCAGGGACTTTACATGCTCTGCAAGAATTCTCAAAGATTAAAGAAACACGTGATTGCATCTCCAAATTCCTTTAGTGCCTTGGATACAGTTCATCTGGCCTTGGAGACCTCAATTCCCTTAAAGTGGATAGGTGTTCATGTAGTACCTCTTTGCTTACCTTGGGCACTAATTTTCCCAACCTCTCCCTCATTTATTCTACCTTCACTAGGCTGAGCAATTTTGTGTCCCTTCTTAGTTTTTTTTCCCTTCCTCTCCACTGATACAGACCTACAGCTGTTCCTCTTGCTTTGGGCATAGTTGAAAAACTCCTTTTAAAATTGTTTTTAACTCTACTGCAAATCTGAGCTTTTTTGAGCTTCAGCCTTCCTAAATTTCTCTGTACATGTAAAGGCTACTTATTTTCATTCTTCCTCTGTGATTTGACCCTCCTTCCATTTCTAATACATACACTTTTTCTATCTCAGCTCATCTGAAAGCATCTTATGCAGCCAACTTGCTTTCTTTTGGTATTTCCCACTTTTCTTTTGCATAGGAATTGTTTGTGATTGTGCCATGAGTACTTTTGCCCTGAAGAAACTTCCATCCCTTGGGGGCTCCCTTCTTTTTTTATTATTATTTCCGACCATGGGAAATGATCTAGTATTCCCCTGAACTTATTGAAATTTGTTTTCCAAAAGTCCAGTGTGCTAGTTATACTATTCCCAGTTTCCCCTCTTTTTTAGGTATAACAGATCTGGAGGAGGTATAGTCACTCCTTCCCGTGTTATTTCCACCTCATGGACCATTTCTCTCCCCCCCCCCAGCTCTAGTTAGTTGTGGTAAGATCCAGGGCAGCGGATCTTCTTGCTGCCTCTTGCACAATGTGATGGATGTGTTGTTAGCAAGGCAAATGAGGAATTTATTGGAATTTGCAGTTGTGGCAGAGCTGGACTTCCAAGAGTTATCAGGGTAGTTGAAGTCTTCCATTTCTATTATGTCTCTCCTCTCTGAATTTATATCATAATCCTTGCCTACAGAAGCACAGGTCGGCTATCAGCACACATAAAAACAACATACTTTAAGTAAACTAGTACTAGTTCCAGTGGCTCACTGGCAGCCGTTGTGGAGATTTCTGAATAGGTGTACTATGCTCAACTCTCACTATTTCTATCAGTACTGAGACAACATCATTCTGCATTAGCTGAAGCTTCCAAATCATTTTCAAGGACAGACCCATGTACAATGAATGGCAGCAGTCCAGTGAGGCAGGTATCAGAGAGCGGATTATTGTGGCCAGGTTATCTCAACAAAGGAAAGGCCATAGAAGGTAGACAACCATAGATGACCATAAGCATTGGCAAAGCTTTTAATTGAGGAGTACTAGACAACATACCCGCTGCATCATGGAAATGCCTCCCTGTCCAAAACAGGTAACCTGCCTACTGTAATTCCCAGATCAGTGGAGCAAAAATCAGTTTGATGGACTCGGGAGTTTACCCGTTCACAAAAAAATCATTACCACAGAAGAGCTAAACAACTTTAATGTTGACAAAGAAGAAAATAAATCCAGATGGAAGACTGCAGCAAAAAATAATAATAATAATCATAAGTTGGCACTTGAAAGTGCAGCAATGAAGGAACTTGAAAAGATCATCAAGTGTATATGTGTCACTGGAGACCAATGTGGAGATCACCCACACACTTATATCTCTAATCACTGTGTATGGGTGTGAAAGCTAGACAGTTGAAGAAGCTGACAAGGAAAAAAAATTGATTCGTTTGAAATGTGGTGCTGCACGAGAGCTTTGCAAATACCGTGGACAACCAGAATGAGTAACAAATAGGTCAGGTCAACCCTGAACTATCTCTGGATGCAAAAATAATGAAACTGAGGCTGTCCTATTTCCGGCACATGAGGAGGCAATATTCAATGGAAAAGGCAATAATGCTAAGAAAGGTGGAAGGAAGCAGGAAAAGAGGAAGACTGAATAAAAGATGGATCGACTGCCTAAAGGAAGCTACAGGGTTCAGTTTGCAAAAGCTGAGCAGGGTAGTTGAGAATACGATATTTTGGAGACCGCTCATTCACAGGGCTACCGTGAGTCAGAGGCGACTTGATGGCACATTACAATATGATGTAATTAACTGTTCCACACAAGCATTCAAAAGTGAGGTTAATAGCTAAATAGATATTTCTCTCTCTCACTATGCACCTTCTCTCGACACGACAAAATAAACTATCCATATGACACAAGAAAATAAAACCAATAAATTATACAAGACGGCCGTATTTTTGAAAAACGCCAGTGATCGCAAAGACACTAACAAAAAAAAAATACCGACACCACTGGTACTGGTAATAAAATATATAACGCTATTCCTACGACAAATAAAAAATAACAAAAGAGGGGAAACGTGCATCAAAATAACACCCAGTAACGGGCGAAAAAAAAACAATAATGTAACATCTGCAATCCACCTCAAAAACAACGCGGGGAGGGGGGAAAGGAGGAAGAAAGATACAATTGCCAGCAGGTGTCACTACCGCTCCCATTCAAACAACCGCCCCATTTTCTCTAACAGCCTCACGAAATGCGGCAAAAAACCACTCTTGGTTGCTCTGAATGAAGTTTCGGGGAGACCGACGCTACAGTTCCGACCAGGGCAGCTACTACATTTACGCTAACCGATGTCTCGGAGAGCCAATCGCGTGCCTCGGCAAGGGAGAGGGCGGGCCTTTGGCGCCCATACCCAATCCCGTGGTGCCGCTCGGCCCAGAAACGAGGCGGCCAAACAGGAGAGGCGAATTCCCGAAGCGGGGGGGGGGAGAAAGGGGAGAGGAGGCAACGAGGCAGGTAAAACACGAGAGTTCTCGCGAGAGCTCCTCTCTTCCCCTTTTCCAGCGGGTGTCTGCGCGGCTGCCATGTTGGTTGCTATGCTGCTGCCTGTCTGAGGGCAGGCGGGAGGAAAGGGAGGCTGGCTCTGGGGAGGGGAGAACGACGGAGGCGGCAGCCAGTTCTTATCCCCTTCGCCTCCTTCAGAGCAGAGCCGGGCAGAGTCCTGCTGTTTAGCGACCTTCTGTTCCGCCCCCCCGCCTCAGGAGGGAGACTTGTCTGGGGTGGTGGTGTGAGGGGGGGCACCTTCCCCTCCCATAGAGGGGCGAGTGCTGTAATCCGTTTCCCCCTCTCCTCCTCTGACTCCCCCGTGGTTGGGGAGGGGGGGAGGGGATGGTTGCGCTGCCTTCCCCTTCTTCTCCTTCCATCTGCCTTGCCATCCTTGCCGTTCTGTCTTCAGGAGGAATGTGGGGGGGCACCGAGCTGAGAGTGGGGCGATCATTACTACTACCACGGCTGCCGGCGACCCCCCATTATTTTTGCCTACTGTTCCTGAGGCGCACAAGAACTAAATTGAACTGAGCTTGATCTTCGGGTTTTGAACGGAACCTATATTTTTTCGAGGGGGGGAGACCCCCCCATCTCCACTTTACCTGTCGGATTTTCTTATCCCGCACCCACCCACCCCCAGAGGTTCTGGTTGTTGATCCCATTAACATTCTGTGGAAGGACATAGTTGTTATATGAAGGTAAGAAATTCGGGTGTTTGTTTTTTTCCCTTTAAAAATTGCAACATTAAAATAGAGGGGGGAAAAACCCTAGTATTGGTACGTAGTTCTTTCGAAAAGCAGAGTGATTCCGTAACGTGAGGATTTCAAATCATCAACGTATTCGCTGGACTCCGTAGTCTGTATGTTAAAATGGGCGGATGGGGGGGGGAGGTTTGACCCAGTAGATGCAAGAGAATGTGTGGAAGCGTTGAAGTAGGATGGGTGGCCGAGTGTGGCGGGATCGTATCCGGAGTATTGAGTATTTGGGGACTGGAAGGATCAGTTTGCTGAAATGTAGGGAGGGGAAGTCCTTTCAGAACAAAATCTTGTCCCGCCAGCGTCTTCGTCTGCTGCAGAAAGGGAGTTAAAGAGATGGTAGAGTTAATTTGAGCTCAGCTGTTTTTCACTCCAATATTGGTTTGCCAGAGGCTGGAAAAGGTCCCGAAGGAGATGTGTGTGTCTTGTTTCGTGAAACTGTTGGGTTTACTCAAATTAATGGTTTTTGGAAACCCGGAGGTTGAGAATAGCTGTCCTGTAAGCGTGCTGTCTTGTGTTTGTGTATCTGTTACGCTAACGAGAAAAGCAGCAGGATTACGTTATTAGTGGGAGTGGAGAAACGACAAAATTAGGTTGCTTGAAGGCGTGTAAAAAGGGTCTGGAGGTGGGTTTGTCAGTTGCAGCCAAAGGTAGTCGAAAACTGTCATGGAAATGGCTTTGAAGATTAAAAGCCTTCCCTGTTCAAAGTATGTTGGTAGATTGTTACATTTTATTTTTTATTTTTTTTTAAAAAAAAGACAGAAAAGCAGGGTAGAGGTTATTTTAACGTTTGTTTTCTGTAAGCCTGTTCTGACAGCTAGGAACAAAGCTAGTGTTGTTCTGTAACAGTGTGTGCCTCCATGTATGTGTGTGGATTGTGTGTACATATGTTTCATGGCAGCACAGTTAAGGGATGCATCGGTGTTTCTGGGCCCCTGATCAGCCAGTACTATTAACGGTACATGTGCATTGGATATGTGAGAGGATAGGTCTGAATACATATTGTTGCAAAGAACTGTGTAGTTTTGTTTTACAGTAGCACATTATATCAAGCACATAAAGTTAAACTTCTGTGGAAGGATATGATACACCTGGCATACTGCGTGTAATACTCTTCCCCTTGGGGGGGGGAGACTGTGTCATAAAGCTCAAAATATGGCCTAGAAGAACTGTGGTAAGGTATCCCACATAGGCCATCCACTGGTCGTCTTATTGCCCTGTTTTAGTTTCTGAAAGAAGTTTGTACAAAGTCATTACTTTTAGTTCATAAACTATCTGGACTCTTTCTATAGCTACTTGATGTACTCTTATATGTTGTGTTTTCATTGTCAGTAGAAATGTTTGTTCATAAAGATCGACAGTGAAATATTGCTGATGCCATTGAGTGTAACAAAGTAATAGACCTAAAGAAATAATAGAATTAGAATGTGTAAAGCTAATATAATTAGGTTTTCAGAGTTTGAGAGCAGACTTCAACACTAACAACTTCCTAGTGAAGGCTGTAATTCAGAATAATTCTTGCATGCATTCTCCATTCTCTTTAGTTCTGATTACTTTAATGTGGCTGTTTTCTTTGTTTTGTCATAGCTTAAATGCTTTCTAATGCAAAAGTTAGTGTTTTTCATACTGTACAATATTTTTAAGCCCTCTAAAATTTCCAATACAGTATCTAATTAGTAGAGTAGTGTTTTAGAAAGAATGTTGCATGATTGAATTTGCTTTAAATCAAATTGATTTAAATCACAATTTAAATGATTTAAATTAAAAATGGATTTTAAATAAAAATGATTTGTTTAACAACTGATTTTTTAAAATTTAAATCCTGATTTAAATTTACCTTTTTATTAAAAAGCATTGGGTTTTATCCACTCTGGAATGTTGTTACATTATTTGGGCAGAATTACTGTACATAAATCTAGTAGCCAGATTTTTCATAAAGGTAAAATAACACGAGCATCATATTTATGAATGTTCTACTTTTGGCAAATGTATGTTTAGTCTACGTATTTTTTCACTCCTATATGTTTTAGTTGAATAAATCCAAGCTCTTGTATCAGTCCTTATTGTAACATGCATTCTTAATTTGTATGTTTTAAAAGTATTTAAGAGTACAAATGCACATTGTGCTGTGTGAGCCATCATTGGACTAGTTAAAACAGTTGCCATCACTAGACTAGTTAAAATGTTTTTTTTTTAATTGAGGTTCAGTTAGCTTTGTTTGGATCCAGTCTGCTACCAGGAATGTTAAGGATTGGCAGCACTGTTGAATGATTCCAGGATACCAAAATGAATTTTGATATGATTGACATATATGCTTGTGCACTCACATGAAAAAACAAAAACCTGTAGGGCAGGGGTCTCAAACTCAATTTACCTGGGGCCCGCTGGAGGCAGAGTCTGAGTGAGGCCGGGCCGCATCAGATTTTCTGCCACGCGGAGCAAAAGCCCGAGGAAGCTGCCCAAGAGTTTCCTTAGCCCGGCTGGGACTCTGAGGAGGAGGAGGAGGGGCATGCGAGCCCTTGTCGCCGGCCACAACCAAGCCCCCACCGGTACCCGCGAAATTAAAGAGAATGGGGCGCCCCCTGCCACAGGTGCATGCATGCAGGCACGCACACACGGAGGTCAGGAAACCTTTCTCTGAGGGCCTCCACTCAGCAGCAGCAGCTACCCCTACCACGACAGAGGAGCAAACTTTGCGAGATGAGCCCAGGCAGCCTCCAGAACTAAGGAGGCTGAAGCAGAACGAGGAGGAGGAGGAAGCACTGCTGGGCGCTGAGGTGGCCATTTGCCGGGCTGGTGCTGGGGGTGCCGAGAGGGAAAGAGAGCCAGAGAGCCGCTTCCCTGGGAGAGGCGGCAGCAGTGGCTGTTGGCGGCTTGGAGGGGCTCTTTGAGGACGGGCTGAAAGCAAGCTCCGCTTGGTGGTGGCTCGGGGAAAAGGGCCAGCAGCACGCCTCGGTCGCCGGCTATCCCCCAAGACAGCGCCTCTTGCACTCTCCATCTGGAACTGCAGCCTGCCAGCCGGAGGGTGCAAGAGGCGCTGTCTTGGGAAAGAGCCGGCAAGCGAGACAAGGCTTTTTTTGATTCTTGACAGCAGAGGACGCTTGGGTACTTCAGGGGGGGCAGGCAAGGTAGGGGCCACAAACTATTGTCTGACGGGCCACAAATGGCCCCCGAGCCGCATGTTTGAGACCCCTGCTGTAGGGTATATCTGGAATTAATTGTAGCACCCCAGTTGAGCATTTGTTGTAGAACGGTTTGGTCATTCTTGAATGGGAACAGTGAAACTTTACGATTCGTGTTAAGTGGGAAGTCAGAATAGGTTATAGGTAACCCTCACACAGCAAAGGATTGTGGGGTAGTTTAGGAATGTCTGCATGCCTGAAGCTAGCATGTCTGACTTATATCTGTTTGCCTGCCTGCCTGCCTGCTTGGATGAATCGTAGAAAATTGAGGCAGTTGACAAAGGCTTCAGAATGTCCAATAACTAGTATTGCATTTTGCCCCTGCTCAGTGTTTCTTTCGGTCACTAGCATAATAGTGGTGACAGTATTATTGATGTCTTAGTTTTGGTTGTGAGAAAGAAATAGGTGCTGCTATGAACACATGCTGTTCATAATATGCAAAGACTCATTGACTCTGCATGTCCAACCTTGAGATACAGAAAAATATTAGAAGTGTTTCACAAACTACCCTGTTTCCCTGAAAATAAGACCTAACCTCAAAATAAGCCCTAGTACGATTTTTCAGGATGCTCGTAATATAAGCCCTACCCCCAAAATAAGCCCCAGTTAAGTGAAACCCTGCCCTTCACCATTGAGTGGCAACCAAAAGACTGTATTTGGATAAATTTAGTTTGTTGTATAAGAAAAAAAATAAAACATCTCCTGAAAATAAGCCCTAATGTGTTTTTTGGAGCAAAAATTAATATAAGACCCTGTCTTATTTTGGGGGAAACACAATACATCATTGTAACCAACAATGTTACCTGCCAGTGGTATAGGTGTTGCTAGTAGCTCCAGCTCATTCTCTTTTTTCGACACCCCAACATACAATCCCAGTTTGATGTAGAATGTGTGGACTGTTGTGGGAAGTCCTCTGGAGCAGATTTGGAGGTGTAAGATGAATGGGCAAAGGGACGACAGACAATTGATTTGTGTGAGCAAAAGTCTCCTTGTGGAACAATGGATTTAACTTCATGTAATTTATCCAATATTTTGGTTCTTAGGTTCTAAACATGTAATGTATTTGTTTCCTGTGTCTGTGCAGGAATAAGTAGTTTTAGAAACTGTGTGTCCAGCAGGATCTGCATGTCCCGAAGACTGTCTTGCCAAAGCAGAGAAAGCAGCCTACTATCTATATACAGGGAGCAGGAGAAGTACCTTTGGAAAGCATGGATCCTATTGGATCCAGCTTGTGGTCTGCTGCTCTAAAGTGGGACAGACGTTGCCTGTTTCTCATTTACTTGTATAATATATGTTTGCAAAAAATACGTATCACCGGCAGTGGTTTTCTGGCTTTAAATCATTTCCTATCTTATCCTGTGGCTCTTGAAGGCTGCAGCAAGATGAATGGGAACCCAAAAATGTTGGGGGAAGGGGGTTCCAGGAAGCTTTTTATTGCTCCAAATGGCAGTGGCATGGTTGTGGCTAATGACATCATCCTTGTTGTGTGTTATAAAATTATGTGACAGGATTTCAGCCATTGCATATTTGAGTACTGCTGCAGCTACCGTGATTTTACTTGACAGATCTAACTGAGATGCTATGTAATTTACTGCCTGCATGGATAGATCATTGAGTTGGATACCCAGTTGTGGAGCCTGGGGTTGGGAGATGAATTCCCTGTTTAACTATCATTTTGCTATTACTTCACTATTAGTTGAAGATGTTGTGTCATAATCATAATATTTGATTGAATAACTGACAATGTGTTTCTGGCATGTC